GCGTGCCACACTGTTCCATGCAATTTATAGTGCAATTTTTCCTACCCTCTCTGCAAAAACCAGGTGCTCTAGTCCTTCTTCCAGGACTGGATGTCCTTCTACCTGGACCTACAGTCCTTCTACCTGGATATTACTGTTGTGTGGGGAAGAGTTGAGCTCAGTGTCCTTATGTTAGGGGGAAAGGATGTCCTGAGCTAATTCCATACAGGCTTTGTGGACTCCACCCACACTCCAGACTAAAGCCATCAGGACATTGGGAAAGACAAATCCCATCATCACCAAAGGGAGGGTTGCTGGGATCTGAGGGTGGAGTTAAGCTGCCAGGGTTGGTATAAAACCAGACTGGGTCTTGGGGGCTCTCTTGGCTCCACAGCTCTTGGCTCACCGCCAGCTTTCAGACCTGCAGTTAAGTATTAATAAGTCCCTTTTAAGCGCACAGGTGAGGACCCACAGTCAGGCAACCCGTTTTATATCGGGGTTGCCCTGCAACACTTACTCTCCTGCCATCTTATCCTGTTGATTGACTTTTTCTTAGTGCTCTTTTTTTTTTAATTTTTTTTTAAAGATTTATTTATTTATTTATACAAGCACTGGGTACAGTCAGAAGCACAGGAGGGTGAGAGAATTCACCAGAGCCAGAGTGGGGAGCAGAGCAGGCAGAAGGACCGAAGCACACTGCTGAGGGGAGCAGCGGGTGGCAGGAGAGGTCTGCGCGCCATGTGGGACCCTCCTCCTGTGGCCGGGGAGCAGCCGGGGATCGAACCGGCGCCGCGGAGGCTTTGGTTTCGGGCAGCTTCACAACCCAGCCTCAACCACTGCGCCACCGGGGAGGCCCTCTTAGTGCTCTCTTGTGGCTGCTTTAGGTACAATACTATGCATCTCAAGTTACCAGATTAATTTACTGTGATTCCATTAAAATTTAGGTTTGTTTCAATATAGCTCCATTTCCTACTCTCTTCTTGGTGCTATTGTAATTTATACTGCATGGATGTTATGAACCCCATAATAAAGTGTTATTATTACTGCATTAGTGTTATCATTAATCACATGCTACTTAAAAAGAAAGTATTTGCTGTGGTAGGCAAATGTCTCCCCAAGATTCCCACCTTCTGGTTATTCAATCAAAGGTACTACTTTGAAAAACCCTGTAAATGAAATTAGGTTACTAAATAGGGAGATAGTCCTAGATTATCCAGATGTGTCCAGTGCAATCACAAGTTCTAAAGAAGGCAGAGAAGCTGGTCAGATAGAGAAGTGGTAGCAGAAGATGAGAGATGAGCAAAAAGGGAGACCAGAGAGATGTGAGGAAAAGAATCAAACTGTTGCTGCTGACTTTCACAAGGGAGGAAGGGGGCCAAGCGTCAAGGAATGAATGTGAGTGGCTTTTCCAGAAGCTGCAAACCATTCCCATCAGCAAGGAAACGGAACATATGTGGGACCTGCAAGTTGGGGGGCCTTAAAACCACAGAGAATTGAATTTTGCCAACAACCTGTATGAATTTGGAAGTCAATTCAGTCTGAGCTTCCAGAAAGGAACACAATCTAGTCAATATCTTGATTTTGACCTTACAGAATATGGAGCAGAGAATTAACTGAGCCACATTATACCTGCACTTCTGAACTAGGCAAGGATGAGATTGTAGGAGGGCATGGTTTTAAGTCAGTGTGTTTGTAGTAGTATGTTAGTGGTGGCAATACATTCATACAGTTTATCAGTTTACCTATATATTTCCACTACTGTTTCATCCTAAGGATTCAAGTTACAAAACTGGCGCCATTTGTTTTCAATTGGAAGGATTTCATTAATTTTTTTAAGGTTTATTTTTATTTATTTTTGCATAGAACTGAGGTATAGGCCAGAGGTGCAGGGGGTGAGAGGATTCATCAGAGACAGAGTAGGGAGCAGAACAGGCAGACTGACTCAAATATACTGCTGAGGGGGAGCAGCAGGCGAGTCAGGAGAGGTCTGCTGCGCCACATAGGTCACCCTCCTGGCTGGAGATCAAACTCATGCCGCAGTGGCTGCTGATAGCTTCGTAGTGCCACACTTACATCCTTGCGCCACCCGGGAGGCCCCCTCATTTGGTATGTCCTACAAGGCCAGTCTACAAGCAACAAAGTGCCTTATTATTATTTTTTTAATCTAGGAATGTCTTTATTTTGCCTCCTTTTACTTTTTGCCTTTACTTTTTTTTATTTTTAAAGATTTATCCATCCATCACACAACACAAGAACTGGGGTACAGGCCAGAGGTGCGAGGGGAGAGAGGATTCTCTAAAGAGACTGACTGGGGAATAGAACAGGCAAACTGACAGAAATACACTGCTGAGGGAGGGCAGCAGCAGGCAAGACAAGAGAGGTCTGCTACGCCATGTGGGTAGCTCCCTGTCCAGCTGGGGATCGAACTTGTGCTGCAGAGGCCGCGGAGAGCTCCATAGGCTGCGTCTTAACCCCCTGTAACCATCAGGGGGTTTGTAGTAATATGTTAGTGGTGCCCCAACTTTTGAAAGCTAGTTGTGTCCAACTCCTGTAATGCTGTCAAACTGATAGTCTCTGGAGCTTCATGAAGATATATAGGATTGGCCCCGAAGCACCCACTCCCTTCGCTGGCCTGGATTCAGATTCCATGGGGATTATTACTCCAATCAGACTTTATGGTGAGATAGATGTAGGAATAGCAGACTTTCTGGGGTCTATTCAGGAGAGCAGGAACTTACTCCAAAATTTGCAGGCCCTAGATTTGAGTCACAACCCCATGAGGTCCAGCCCTTCTGAGATGGCTAGAGGACCTCAGGGCAGCAGGGAAAATGAATGTAAGAGCAGAGCATAACAGAAATATCTGCTACAGCTGTGCTCTGGTGCCCTCCTTGTACATCCCCAATTCAGGAGCCAGAGAGAAGTATACCTCAGGTCATTCTGTTGTCTACTCACACTGCTTCCAATTGCTCTATCTTGTCTTCAGGTCTAGCTTGGTCTGCTGCATATGAGAACACTCAGAATATAAAGCTTCCTGTGTTTTTTAAAAATCTACGTACCTATCTACTGCTATGAGGAGAGATACTCAAAGCCTTACTCTCCTTGAGACTAAGGTAAACACTAAAGGTGGCTCTGAGTTAAGTTAGTTGGCCTGCCAAGCTATACAGTGGCCTAAACTGGAACTCTCCAGGGGCATGCTGAGCGCCACCTTCAGGGTAATGGAAGTTCACGAGGTAGAAGGGTCAGTGAAAGAGAAGAAGCCAATACCTGCTTCCCATACAGTACCTGCTGACTCTGACCTGGGCCCTCTATCTGCTGTACTCCCAGTTCACCTTCAGTTATTCCCCAAAGGACAGGACTGCTACTCTTCTTATTCTGTCTATTCTCTTCAGGACATCTACAGTCGGTTTCCATCCTTGCCAGTTGCAAAAAATCAGGTGAGATTATGCACATTTGAACACATGGACAAAACTCAAATACTAGTTATCAGCAAAAATGATCAGCTCTCATATTTGGAATTTAATCTCAAAAGTGCATTTATTTTTTTTTAGAACTTCCCAAGTTTTTTTCCTTCCTTTTAAAAAATTTATTTATACATATTTTACACCATTTTTCATTTTTTTACAATGTTTGCTTTCTTTTCTCAGTTGTAGTCCCCAGAGTGTTCATGTATATAACCTTTCCCAGGTAGGTTTTTTTTTCCACTTAAAATGTCTAATGTTAATATGCAGTCGATCCATCCGCATCTTCCTTTAAACAAAGACCTACGTCTCCCTGAACACCATCTATTAGAGTAGTAAGAGCCTGAGTACCAAGATATACGCACATTTCATTACCGGGTCGGGCCAATACTTCTTATTATTTCTTTTTCTTATGCCTCCCGAACTGTTTCTTTCCCCTCTTTGAAATACTCAAAGTTACCAAATTCAGCTCCCCTTTTATATAATTCCATTCTTTCATAACAGGAGAGAAAATAGTGTTAAGTTTCTTTCCTTTTCCATTTCTCACACACAGAGTCATTTAATTCCACAATGACTTAATATTACTGAACTCTTATCTTTCCTAATTCTCAAGAATGCCTGGTGAACCATGCATGGCCAAGCCCTCGCTTTTGCAACATCAAGTTTTCCTATTCACTTTTCAGAAAATTCTCCCTGTTTTATAAATCTTCATTTACATAATCAAAAACCTGCAAATTTGCAAAATATGCCCCTCGGGCCATATATGTAAGAACACTTTTATTTCTTTTTTTTTTTTCACATCATTCTTCCTTTTTTATACAATGTTTGCTTTCTCCTCTCAGGCGTAGTCCCCCATAGAATCCCCACCACCCAGTCACCCGTGCGCCATCACCATCGTCCCCTTGTGCTCTTCCCTCCCTGTTTTGATCTCCTTTTCCAAACGTAGGAAACAATAAAAACAGAAGAGAACAGCATAAAGCTGGTCCTGTTCCTTCTTCGAATCTATCTACGGTGCTTAAAAAAGTCCACTTTTGTCAAGCTTCTAACAAAAATCCTACATCCTGATAACATGTATCTTCTATTAAGAGGAAAGTTATTTAAAAAACAACAACAACAACAAAAAACACCCTAAATCCGTTCTTTGTTTTGAATTGACTGGTCTTGAAGGTAAAAGTAATCAATCTGCAAAACCTCTCCCAGAGTCAGTGAAGGGTTCGGGGACACATGTCCTCTCTACCTCGATTTCCTCATACACTTTCCCACTCCCAAGAGGCTATACAAATCTACCTTTTTGTTTCTTTAAAAAAGCCTATTTCCACAATCTATTCCCATTCTCACAATTTTTTTAATTAAGAAGATAAAAGCACTCTAAATTTCCTTTGAAGTCATTGAAAGACTTTTAAGAATCAAAATAACAACATTGCCTTAACACAAACACCAATTTGCTGAGCCAGAGGCAAAGCTCACATGCAGACAGGTTCCCTCTTGTTCACTGACAAGAGCAGCAATCCCCAACCACGTTAACCACACCGCAACCGGCACTGGGTAGTAATCCAAAGATTCTAGCACTATCTATAGCAACCACGTTTCATAATAGCATTGCACACTTTAAAAAACATTACACACTAACACTTGAGGAAAAAGTCATTTATTTGCTTGCTTCCATGTTTCTACTGTAGTGTTAGGACTTGACATAAGCATTGCTGATCTACTTCCTATTTACAGTTCATTCAGAATATTACTACAAGTAACAATGTACAATTTTTAAGAGCTTATGGGGAACTGCAGATTTTGTTTTTCTCTCCTCTTTACAGGTTTCTCAGAATCATTCAACTTAAATGAAATTTATATGGACATTTTCTGTACACATCTGAAAGGGCAGAGATTGATAAAGTCAAAAGAATTTTGCACAAGTATAATAAAATACAGAAAACAGAAAATATAGGTGATGTTTGGGGGGGTACAAATATAAACAATACAGTACCATTTGAGTAATTTAGCAACATAATACTCACACTTTATAGAAATAAAACTGCAAACCTGGAGACTGCTCTGACAAGTATTAAACATCATATATACAATGAGGTAAATGTACCTTGGTCTCTTGAGAGGTAATTTAAGTTTAAAGCAATTGACATTTTGAAGCATCTCCTTGACATATAAAGAAACATCAAACACCCCATTCCATTGGCACAATGTGAAAAAGGGATATCAAAACATGGTTCATGACATTCTTAACAAAGCTTGTCAAAAAATAAAAACAAATTCACTGAAGTTCTTTTTAAGCTTTAAGAAACAGGTTGAATGTTATTAACTACATTTTTTAAAGGTTACACTCACAAGATTGCATAATGGGATTAAAAAGTTTCAATGTATTGACAATCCTCAGAATATCCTAGAAGTCCAGCATTCCTAGAAAGTGGGTCCATGCGTGTTCCTGCATTCCAAAACAGACACAAGAAGCTGCAGTACCTGTCCAAAGCTATTGTTTAGGATCTCAAAGATATCTGAATTGGCATCTTATGCCACGCTTTAACAGAACCATTATTTGGACTCTCCACCACTTGGAGTCAGAACACTGCCACAGTCAAGAAACAAAAGGTCCAGTTGACTTATAATCACTCTTTCAGTGTAAGGGTGAAAATAAACTCCTGATGTGATGTGTCTAATAAAACGCTGGTTTTGTTGTGCACTTAAACTAGCACTTTACCATCTTGGTTTTTAAAATATTCTACACATGACAGTTCTCCAAATATAGAGAAAAAAGGGTAATTCATGCATGAACCACAAAAATGGCTAAGAGACCACTTAAGTTTTGTAATAAGAACTGAAACTTTGAATTCTCAGTGGCCATGGCACCATACACTGACTCAAGGCACTTCTTGAGCACTATCATTACAGCAGAATTACAGGCTCAGCTTGTGGGCGGCCCCCAGTCCTACTAGGGATCCAACTAGCCACTGCTTCTGGCACAACTCCCACTGCCATAGTTGTCACCGTGCAGCCATCCCACTCCTTGGCTATGGCTGAAGTCAAAGCAGGGCATCCACTCAATCTCCAAATTCGGAGACCCTTCCCTGCCATCTCCAATGACTCAAGGAAATAAAAGTAGGACTGTAATTTCCATCAACCCTTTCACTCTAGATAACAAAAGCAGCTATTCAGTCAAAAGGTTGCTGGGTGGAGTGGGGAAGGGTGATGGCAAGGCAATGATCTCTGAGTCAGAAGCCAGCAGGAAGGCCGGTTGGGAGAAAAAGAACTGAAGATGTGAAGAAGGGACCAGAGACGTCTACACTTCACTAGACCATAGCCCCCCTATCTCCATTCCACCAAGTTAGGGACAAAATGGATATGGACAATTTTTCCTGCAATGTGTTTTAGCTACATTGAATCTCAGCAGGTGAGCAACTGAAAAAAGGCAGTATAAACAAAGGACTATATTTCTAAATGACAAAATCTAGTCAAAAGTATCTGCAGTTATAGCTGCAGTAGTCATGATTTCATCTTTTAAGTTACTTTCATGTTTAGGATTAGCCAATTGGGGTTTATAAAACCATCACTAGCCAACAAAAGGAATTAGCTGCAGTAATATGTAAACCCAATTTAGAACTAAATCCCAACTTTTAAAATATTCCCTGATTCATCCAATGTACACTTAAATCACTTATGCAAGAACAGTATAACTCTAACTCAGTCTTTGACTGAGTAAAGAGTATCTTTAGCAAAAGTTGTTTACCTTACATGAGAGTGAAAAATCATGTATCACAACTTTAAATCAAACAAAAACTTTTGGTATGTTCTTAAAATTATACAAAAATAGTTTTAATGATAAATGTGTTGGTCCTCTGAATTTCATAAAGCAGATAAGGTAAGCTTAGACATGGCGAAAAAATATTAATACTAAAGTACCTGATCACAGAGCTAGAAATTATTAAACAGGAAATGTTATACAATTATTAAAACAACTCTCAAACTCATTCGTTTTGATGAAATCATGGTTAACAACAGAAAAATAACTCAAATTTGTAGCCAAAATATGAATCTCTAAGCACATCTTCCCTGTGATGTTTTTAAATACATGAACTCGACACTAAGTTCCTATGTAGTATGTAGTCATTCATTCCAAAATCACTTTGGCTTTAAGACCAAACAGTCTTTCAAATTAAATCTATTTTTAAGAGAGAAGACACTATCAGAATGCAGCTCTGTCAGTATACGTGGTCATTCTTTCTTACTGACCAAAATACTGTATACGTTATTTTGACCCTTTTTTTCATCAGGAAACTGATAGCACTATATAAAGTCAATGTCTTGCCTCACAGCTATGGGAACTTTTTTGCTTTTTACCCCTCAGAATAAGATCACAGTGATAAAGAGGACTTTGAAAATTGCAAAAGCCCTGCAAAGACTTCTAGCACTGGAAGTAAAAACCAGTTGTTAAAAGCTAGTTTCAACTTAGCATGTGAAGACCATGAATAGTTTGCTTTAAATATTTAATCTGACCAGAAACATCTGTAATTGGAGAATCTATACTCAGAATATTCTTTAGCTACCACTCTCCCAAAAATCAAAGGTGCACTGAATTTATTACATAACCATGTAAATAAAACAATTGCAACATTTGCACACAGAAGGAGACTGAATTAAAAGCTGCCGTCCTCAAAGTGTAGTGAGACCTCAAAACCAGACTAATTCTAACCTTAGTTGCAAAGACAGAAAATCCACTGAACACTGACTCTACATAACAAATGTGACTCTCCTGCACATCTGCTATCTATTCAAATTATTAACTACCTTTACCTTCCTAGAAAAGGCCTATTAGTTAACATTAATCATATTCAAATTTTAAACTTAACTCATTTCTTAAAAAAATAACACTGTCTTTGATCAGATAATGAAAAATTGGCTTACAGAATGCCACACAACTTTTCACAAGCAGCTAGACAAATTTTCTTTTAGAAAAATTAGTCTATAAGCTACACATTTTAAATTATTAAAGTACTGTAAGCATCTAGAGTGCCACTTGATTTTAAGTATACTCATACCACACAATTAAAATGCCAAAGCTTGATGTGAGAATATTCAAACATGACCATGATAACAACTTACCCAATTAATGCCACTTCATTTCTTTAGTGGTTTAAGCACATTTTGGTAGTAGAGAAAGGCATTTTCAAAATGGAATATCAAATGACATACCACAAAAACCCTTCCAAAAAAACCCCATAAAAAGTCTGGACTATCCAGATAAATAAACTTTTTGAATTAAAACACTACAGGTTTTAACACAGAGAGACTTTAAGCAAATTCTACTCATTTCTATTAGAAAGACACAGAAGTGGCACTTACTGGTATAGTACAATCCCATTTTGAAGGCATGTATGTTCTGAATATGTGAAAGAACAATAATAGTATACAAAATGCAATTGCATAAATTATGTTCCTCACTACTACATGAGGTCATTTTTAGACTCAAGAGTATTTTTAAGTGTTAATGTTAAGATCCTGAAAATCATAGAACAGTACATTCAAAGTCTGAATCAAGGAACTCTTTAGTGGTTCAGAATCCTCTGAGAATGTACTAACCAGGTAAAATTACTTTCTTATTGTTTCTTTTAACTCAGCAATCTGGCTCCTTTACCTTTAAAGATGATCTTTAACACAGCAGAGTTACCTAAAGTTAAGACCAGCAATCATCTTTTAAAATAAAACAAGTTCTGTGTTAATAAAAATAAAAGTAGACTACATAACATTTTGTAACTGTCCTGGGAAAGAAGCGTTCATAGTGCAGAGAAAGGACCCACAAGGCTGTTTCCTGGGTCCAAAGAAATCCTGGGAAGTTCTTAATTGACCTTATTACACTGTTGCAGAAGGAAGTAATATCCTTCTATTCCCTCTCAGTGAGGTAGAACAAATGACCTCCCAAATTAAAACCCAGGAGCAGATCTGAAGAAAAAGAGTTCAGGCAAAGCCACAGAATTACATTTTGATGCCTTCCTGCTGACTGAGTTGTGACAATGTTTTCTTAATCCGCAAAGCTGTAAGTCTAGCGGCTCCATTGGCATACCAACATTCTCTCATAATTTTAGCCATTACTCTTAAGGCCTGTAAGAAAGAAAAAGAAAAAATAATTAACGCAAGCATCATTTCCATGGATCTGACCCTTTACCTGCAAATTTTCTTAGTAAATTATGTCTGTATAAGTTTTTTTGCTTCCACATTATTTATAACAGCAATGAATACAAATGACTTAATTTCCCATCAGGAGTACAGGTGCCAGCAGCAATGGACAAGGGGTGACTAACACAGCTGACCTGAAAGCAGAATCCTGGACCAGAACTGTTCAAGACAAAGACTCACTGAAACTTTGCCTAAAACAGAGGAATTAACTGCATAAAGTACCTTTGGGGTGCTGTTCAGGCTAAACATAGGAGGATCTGTTGAAAGAGTTAGAATCTAAAATACCTTCTTCTCCCATCTCACAGAGCTGGGTGACTGTCCTACTCTATTAGAGCAGAAATTAAAGGTTTCTCTCTTAGAGGGCAAAACAGATTTCTGACTTGGGGAATATGAAGGTAAACTTCAATGCTAAGACAATTTTTCCCCAAAACCTGGGTAGCAACTTATATGTACTCCTCCAAGCAAGACACTGGAAGTCTTCTCTGGGGAACATGAGTAACCCAGGAGGAAAAACCTGAAGAGACTGACATCAGTGGTTCCCAGGAAGCAACCCATTAGATTACTCCAAAGATCACAGTCGCTAATTTCCATTCATGTGCACAAAGCTTTCAGCACCCTCTTTAAACATGGTGGGAGTATAAATTTGATCAGACATTTGAGGAAAGTAGTATGAAATTCAGTAGCTGATACAAACAGAAAAAAGCAACTTGGAGAAAACAGAAGAGGTATATAGACTAGAATATATCAATCATCTGTCATCAATAGTTTTTTTGTTTTTTGTTGCCTTTAGAAAAACTTCAGCAAAGAATTGGAAGATGAACCTGATTTTAAAAATTATAATAAACATCAATAAACCTCCCAGAAAATGGAGGGACAAAGAAAAGGATGGACAAGGTAAAATTAGAAGGTCTGTTCAAGAGACCTAAAAATCCTAACTAGAGTTGAAGAACCAGAAGAGAGGAAAATGGAAGAGAACAAATAAAAAAAAATACTCCAGGAACATTTCCTAGAAATAAATACTTGTCACCAGATAAAAAGGACAAAGTACCCATCATTTATATATACATATCTATCTATCTATCCATCTATATTGATATCTCTCTATATCTCTATTTCTATATATATAGATATATATTTATATGCACGCATTCGTGCCTCTGTTTTGGGCTGCTGACTGAAGGGGACATTTACTTCAAAGTGGGAACCTGCGTTCAGTGGCAGATCTAAGCACGGTTCTGACACAGATAGTCACTGCAAAGGCCCCATGGCCTTTTCCATGTGCTTAAAATTGAACATGAAAACCAAATTATTCTGTATTTATTTACTAATTTAATTGCCACGAAAAAGGGAATTCTTGTGTTTTCCTTAAAGAACTTCACTTACTAAGCAGAAGTAGCTTATACAATTGTGTAGTCTCCAAAAGAAATACTTACTTCACAGCTCTGCCATCTGTTTGGAATATTAGGCCTTAACTTCTGTTCACAAACAACTTTTCTCATTTCTTCAACTGATGGGTCAGAAGGTACAAGATCATAATAAGGCAGCTGGTAATCTTCATGAATTCCTATATTGATTAAAAAAAAAAAAACTACTTTGAAGAATTTACACAGGTCATGTCAGATTGCTCCTTGACCAGTGAGAAAAAGAACACCTGACAGTCATAGTACAGTTTCCCATTACTAAGTCAGGTGAGTCAGCAGGACTCACTGTTTGCTCCATCTCATTTACATCTCTATCTACCCACCCCAAGTCAGCATTGGGCCCACACCTTAAAACTAAACATTGCCGGGGCCTCCCCGGTGGCGCAGCGGTTGAGCGCTGGGTTGCGAAGCTGCCCACAGCCTCTGCAGCGCCGGTTCAATCCCCGGCCACCGCGCGAGGGTCCCACATGGTGCGCAAACCTCTCCTGCCACGCCCGCTGCTCCCCTCAGCAGTGTACTTCGTCATTCTGCCTGCTCTGCTCTCCGCTCTGACTCTGGTGAATTCTCTCATCCTCCCGCGCTTCTGACTGTACCCAGTACTTGTATAAATAAATAAAAATAAATCTTTAAAAAAACAAAACTAAACTAAACATTGCCATGGGATCAATGAAAGCTATTTTAATTCTGGTCATTAGCTATGACTGGTGATGACCAGATCAACGTTGCCCCCTAGAATTCCAATATGTAAGACAGGGGTGCTTGTCCCGTGGATGCACAGCCTCTCACCAGGTATGGTATATTCACTCTATCACTGAGACTTGAATCCTACAAGGCGAGCCTGAGGTGCAAGTCCCTTGCAATGTGTGCATCTGCCAATACCCTGTCCTACTTGCCACAAAGCAAAGAAACACTATGCCTCCCCAAACGCCTCAAAAAACCTCAGGCTCTCATCTCAGCCAAGCCTAATCCCTCAAGAGGTCATTTCTTGAAAAAATATTGAAAGTATTCAATCTAAAACTAAACTTAAAAGTTAAAAAAAACTTAAGAGTAATGTAATGGCAATGTATTTGCATTTTGTATGTGTAATTTCCAGCTATCAAGGTGAAGAAAATTGCAGGAAAAAATTAGCTTGACTCAGGCACACACTGTAGATGGTTTCCAAGGTAGCTTCTCAAATAGTCATCATTCCAAGCAACTATATGTCAACATAACAAGGGGTTGGTTTCTTATGCATCCCAAGATTCATGTGGAAACAGTAAAAGAACACACTAGGATAAAGCTGTGCTTTACGAGAAAACTACATGGGAGAAAGCATATACTTTTTCTCTCACTATAGGTATTTCTCTTCTTCTTTATTTTCTTGGCACTCTCAGTGATTACGTAGAGAACATAATTTCAGCCTGGTGATGTGTAACTTCATTCAATAACAAAGACAATTCTTGAACAACTTTTGATCATGACAAACTATTGGGGAAGGGGAGAGAAATTTACCACCAATGGAACATCGTCGAGCTATTTCCCAGAACACTAAGCCCATTGCATAGATGTCGGCACGTTTGAAGGACTCAAAGTGTTTCATATTTATGGAATCATCTAGAACTTCAGGGGCCATGTACCTAAAAAAGAAGTCAGCATTTTATTTTATGGACTGGTGGCCAGATTACTTTTGAACTGCTTCATAAATTTCCTTTTATTCCTGAGAATTAAAAAAAAAAAAAATCAACACAATAGCTTTAAGAATTTCCCCTTCTTTCTGCAAGGTTCCGTTGTCTTTAAAAAATGACTTGGAAATAAACATAGCTGAATAAACTCTTTGACACTGGCCTTACTGGTGTCTTTGTGGATTTGTCTCCAATAGCAAGAAAAACAAAAGAGAGTATCAACAAGAAATGGGACTACATCAAAACATCTCCCCACAAAGAAACTATCATTAACACAAAAAGACAGCTTACAAGGGTTAATATCCAAACTATAAAAATAATTCATATAACTCAACAAAAACATACTACCTGATTAAAAAATGGACAGAGGATCTAGATAGCCATTCACTGAAGACATACAGATGGCCAACAGACACAAGAAAAGATGTTCTACATCACTTCTTATTAGGGAAATGCAAATCAAAATCACAATGAGATTTCACTTCCTACCAGTTAGAATGGCTATTTTCAAGAAGACAAGAAGTAATAAGTGTTGGTGAGGAAGTAGAGAAAAAGGGACCCTCATGCACTGTTGGTAGGAACAGCTATAGAAAACCATATGGAGGCGCTCCCCAAATGAAAACCAGAATTACATAAGCTCCAGTAACTCCACTTCTGGATAATTACCCAAAGAATATGAAAACACTAATTAATTCAAAAAGATGTGCATGCACCCCTATGTTTACTGTAGCACTAATCACAACAGTGAAGATATGGAAACAACCCATGTCTGACAATGATTAAATGGATGGAGAAGTTGAGGTATATTTATACAGTGTTATACTACTCAGGCAGAATAAAAAGTGGTGAAATCCAGCCATTTGCAACAATATGGATGGATCTTGAAGGGGACTATGCTCAGTAAATTAAGTCTGAAGGAGAAAGACACCTTGTGGGTTTGCTCATTTGTAGAATTTTTTTTTTAAAGCAATAAAAAATATCCCCAAAAACTGAAAAACAAAATCTTAGACTCTAACGACAAAATGGTGGTTTCTAGAGGGGATGGAGGTGGGAGGTAGTTTAGTGCTGGGTGGTGATGACATTTGCTGGTGGGCTTAGTATGAAATACATCATTGCTTAGGTGAGAAACTGTATACCTGAAAAATATTCAGTGTTGTAAACTAATGTTACCACAATAAGAAGGGGGGAAAATGACTCATGCTTCTTATAGAAATTTTTCCAAAGTACATAAAGCACAAAATGAAAAACCACTCTATTACTACCACAGTGTTATCGTTTTGATGAATATCCTTTCAGACAGCTTTCTATACAAGTATGGATATGTATATAAAATACTGATTTGTAAATTTATGATGCCAATTAAACTCCATGAAGAGCTAAAACAGCAATTTTACGCTATCTGCCTCACGACTTCAGTGTTTTAGGAAAGGCACGTGTAACAATTTGACTATTACAAATGTCCTAAGGTGCACTACTTACTTTGTCATTTACTTCAAGAGAATATACATTTTAATCTACAAAGGAAGGGCAGGGGCATTTTCCAGAGAACAAAGTAATAGATATAAATGAATGCCAGTCCTCCTGTTAATTCCATATTATCAGGATCTGAAGATCCAAAAATCCTACTAAAGTTATAGATCAGGGGCCTCCCTGGTGGCGCAAGGGGTTAAGCAAAGCACTATGAAGCTATCTGCAGCCTCCATAGCACGAGTTCGATTCCCCGCCAGCCAGGGGCTCAGCAGACCTCACGGTCTCAACCGCTGCTCCCCTCAGCAGTGTATTTCAGTCAGTCTGCCTATTCTGCTCCTCTTTTTGTCTCTGGTGAATCCTCTTACTGCCCCCCCCCACCTTTGGCCTGTACCCCAGTTCTTGTCTGCATAAATAAACCTTAAAAAAAAAATAGTTACAGATCAGGACCCATGAAGATGTGCACCAACCACCCTCCTGAACCCTGAGTTAAGAGTTCTGAGAGTTACCCCAGAAATCATAAATAGAACTCATATAGAATAAAGCTTGGCTTCCTCCAAGGCCAACATAGTAGTATAAGGAGCAGGGCCTTTAGGTAAGAAAGACCCAGGTTGAAAGCTCATCTCTTCAGTTTACCATCCACCTATGTTGATCACATGCTTAACCTCATCTGTGAATTAAGGGTAGTGACGCCTATCTAATTAAATTCTCTTTAGAACTCATGAATTCAACAAAAATTTACTGGGACCTATTATGTTTCAGGCACGGTGAGAGATGCTGGAATAGAAGACTGCTTTCAAGCAGCTTGGAATCTGCTTGAGTGAATATTTACAGCAGAATATAGCAAGTGCTTCAGTGGCCCAACTGAAGTGCTTACAGCAGAAAATAGCAAGTGCTTCAGTGGCCCAGTCTGCCATGCTACAAAAGCCCTTGATGAGGATACCTAATAACTCAGAAAAGACTCACTACGAGCAAAGAAGGTTGAGTACAAGTTAGAGATAATATCTGTTCTAGAATACAGAACAGCCAAAAATGTCCTAAGAAGAGAGAAAGGCATACCTTCAAGAACCGAAAACTTCAGAAACACTTAGGCTAGCTGTGAGATAGCACTTGAGAGCATTATATGAGATTGTATATATAAAATATATAAATGACTGGCACATAGTAGATACCCTGTAAATATTAACCACACACTAACATAACTAACAATAATATTTCCTGAAAGGACTACCTTTTATCAGCAGGCATCTTTTGAAGTCACTTAATCTTGACTTTAGAGCAGGCAAGACCATGAGATGTTCGACCTATAATAAAGCTATTATAATGAAGTACACATTTGAGTTTCAGAAAATAAAATGTGTATTTATTTAGAAGTGTACCTTTTTGTTCCCACTCTGTGGTTTGGAGCAATATCAATTGTATCTGTGGCCGAATCATGTCTTACTGCCAGTCCCAAGTCTGCAATACAGCAAGTTCCATTCTTCTTTACCAAGATATTCTTTGATTTCAAATCTCTATGAGCAATGGCTGGCTTTCCTAAAGAAAAAAAAAATTAAACATGACTACTTTTCAAAAAAATATACCAGTTATAATTCTCATCTTAACACTGAAAACCAAAGCATCTCCTCCTAACCCTGTATCAAAGCATTTCAGCCCAAATCACCTGCAAACTAGCGTCATTCCTAAACAAGCTAAGTGAATCCATTTAACAAATGTTGCTGAAATTACATTTCCTTTTTTTTTTTTAAGATTTATTTATTTATGCATACAAGAGTTGGAGAACAGGCCAGAGGTGTGGTGGGTGAGAGGATTCATCAGAGACAGAGTGGGAAACACAACAGGCAGACTGACTGAAAAATACACTGTTAAGGGGAACAGTGGGAGAGACAGGAGAGGTCTGCTGTGCCATGAGGGTTGCTCCCTGGTTGGCCGGGGATCGAACTTGTGTTGCAGAGGCTGTGGACAGCTTCATAGGTTGCGTCCCAACCCCTTGCACCACCAGGGAGGCCCTGAAATTACATTTCTTCAAAGAAAATAAAGAAAACAAGATGTCAAGAAGATGATACTCAAAAATTTAGTCTAATAATGCAAAGGGGTCCCTAGAGGCTAAAGATGTGTTTGGTAATACAGTACAAATTATTTGTAGGAACGATATTCAGACTCATATTCCACTCTAGATCAACTTCCTTTGGCTATCAATGGGAATGAACTCATTATTAAATGTACAACCTTTACTACTGACCACTAGAAAAACTGCCATTAAGAAATAATAATTAGGGCCTCCCCGGTGGCGCAACGGTTGAGCGCTGGGTTGCGAATCTGCCCGAAGCCTCCGCTGAGCCAGTTCGATCCTCGGCTGCTCCCCGGCCACTGGAGGAGGGTCCCACATGGTGCACAGACCTCTCCTGCCGCCCACTGCTCCCCCCAGCAGTGTACTTCGTCAGTCTGCCTGCTGTGCTCCCCGCTCTGGCTCTAGTGAATTCTCTCACCCTCCCGCGCTTCTGACTATACCCAGTGCTTGTATAAATAAATAAATCTTTAAAAAAAAAAAAAAAAAGAAATAATAATTATTGGGGCCTCCCTGTTGGCGCAGGTGGTTGAGCGCCGCACTGTGAAGCTGTCTGCAGCCTCTGCAGCGTGGGTTTGATTCTGGCCGGCCGGCGGCTGGCAAGAATCCCACATGGCACAGCAGACCTCTCCAGTCTCGCCTGCTGCTCCCCTCAGCAGTGTATTTTGTCAGTCTGCCTGTTCTGTTCCCTGCTCTGTCTCTGGTGAACCCTCTCACCCTTCCACCCTCCTGTGCATCTGGCCTATACCCCGGTTCTTGTAAAAATAAATAAATCTTTAAAAAAAAAATTACAAAGTGGAAAATTTATATATTGCTGGTGGCAATGTAAAACGGTACACATGCTTTGAAAAAAAGTCTGGTATTTCCTCAAACTAGAATCAAAAATCTACAGAAATTGAAAGTAAATTAGAGCTAGCCGAGGACTAAGGATATTGTGGGGAAGTAGGGAGTGACTGCTAATGGGTACAAAGTTTTTTTCTGGAGTGATGAAAATATTGTAAAATTGGTCAGCTGCACAAGTCTATGATTATACTAAAGACCACTGAATTGTACACTTTATTGTTTTTAAGATTTATTTTATTTATTTATGCACACAAGAGCTGGGGTGTAGGCCAGAGGTGTGGAGGGGGGAGGGTCGGTGGTGAGAGGATTCATCAGAGACAGAATGGGGAGAAGAACAGGCAGACTGACTGAAATACACTGCTGAGGGAGGCAGCGGGTGAGACAGGAGAGGTCTGCTGCACCATGTGGGTAGCTTCCTGGTGGGGGAGTGAACTGTGCTGCAGTGGCTGCCAGAGCTTCACAGTGCTGTGACTTAATCCCCTGCACCACTAGGGAGGCCCTGAATTGTACACTTTAAATGGACAAATTGGGTGATATGTGAATTATAACCCAATAAGGCTGTTATAACCAACAATACTAATTACAAAGATGAGTCTTTGTGAAGTGGGGAGTGAGGGAGCCATTAGGTAGCAAGTGGATAATCAAAACAACAGAAAGAAATATAGCCGATCTTCAAATAATGTTTTTTCTTCAACATCATTTTATTATAAGATCGATAATAATCCTGGCTGATATTCAACAAAATGACACTTTATCTGCTTTCATTACCGTCATTTTGCTAAAAGTTGTGGCTTCCAAGAAACTACTGATGATATTAAATCAGGACTTATTGTATTGTATTTGACATTCTGCATGGCACAACAATCACAGAATAAAAATTTCATAACTAAAATTTTGTATTTTATTTTCATCCTTACCTCAGGGTCAAATATGATTATTGGATACCAGATAACATTTATATAAGCATGTTCACATTTACAAAGCATTTCACATTTCATTTGACACTATACATGAAAATAAATGAGACTTGAATTCTAAAGTCAAGATCCTCAAAAAATCACAAATAAGACTGAATGCTCACAAAAATATCAGTATTGTTATGACTAGAGAATCTCTAAGACAAATTCCAAGATTACTAACTCCAGCTGAGATTTTCAGTAGAAAGATGAAATATTCACATCTAAAAACTCACTTTAAACACCTCCAACTGGCTGCCTTCACGCAAAAACTTTCTTAACAGACATTAGATTCACAGGAATTTAAATAACAAGATTGTAAGTTACCTTGGGTACCAACAATCTCCATGTGAAGATGGGCAAGTCCACTTGCTGTGGACAGAGCAAGTTTTATCATTCCTTCCACAGTAACTGTGTATCTGTTCAAATAATCAAAAAGGGATCCATGTTCATGGTAATCTGACACCAACCAGAGCTGAGTCCATGTACCATTGTCTGCAAAGTAAAATAACAATGTTTACAGTTTATTCAAAAGGTCACTTTTTACTCTTAACCCTGAATCACAACTTCAATATGGTACCTTAAGCTTGTATATTTTTTCCTTCGTATTTTCAGTTTCTATTATGTTTTTGCACATATTCTTGTGATCCTCAAAGTAAGCCCCTGATTCTTAAGGCAAGAATAACTAATCCCGTTTAAGAGACAAGAAATCATAGTTCAAACATGGTGATCTTACATCCACACAGATAATAGCAGAGCTGCGACTATTCAGTACACAGTTAGAAGAACTAACTTGGCTCAGGTTAGGTCTTGACAGCAGGAAGGAGGGGGGGGGGAAGAAGAGAAGGATCTGGAGTCCAGTGACTCCCCCAGTAGTGTCCCCTATTAGTGTGGGAGAAAACTGAGCGAGCTTAAATGAAAAAAAATGTGAACTTTTATGACAGACTGTATATAAAATTCATAAAGAAGCCAGATAAGACAATTATGATTCCAAGATTTCCAGCTTAGAGAAACATAAAAAATAGTGGTATCATCGACACATAGGAAAGCTGAGACAGGAAGTAAAATGTCAGGAAGAAAAATGGCTGGGACTGAACCCAGTTTTACACAAGGTGATGTTGAAACTCAACAACTAGGATTGTGCGTTCCAAAAGTTCATTTGTAAGCTGATACATGAAACTGAAATGTGCTTTCCCCTGGGAAGCATGGTAACAGTTCTGGTGAGGTTTCTAGGCAAGGCTGGCACACAAAACTCTATTTTATGCAGAGGTAGCTGAAAAACCATATGTTTCATGAAATCATGAAAAAAAAAATCAAAGAACTGTAACAATCCTAGGAAGCAGCACTATTCAGTAACAGATGCACACTTGCAGTCATTCGGACCTGGAATCTAGGGGCTGGCTGTTATCAACTACATGACCTCAGAAAAGTTTCTCAGCCAATGAGTCGGCTTCTTTTCTACAACAGAATCTCAATTTGCAATACTGCTAAGATTTTTTAAAATAGGTTAACAGATTTTTCAAGCATTTAATACAATGCAAAGCACACAGAAACTTAAAATAAGCTATTTTCTTCACTATTAGTTGTAAAACAAAAGAAAAAAAACTTCCATATTTTGAAGGTTGTTACTCAAGGGAAGTTAGAAGAGATTAAGGAACATGATTTTAGAAGATTCTGGAGGGGGTGGTTCCTGGGTACTTTCAAAAAGATTTAGAGGGCCTCCCTGGTGGCGCAGGGGTTAAAGTCTCAGCACTATCAAGCTATCACCAGCCACTGCAGCATGAGTTCAATCCACAGCCAGGGAGCTGACCCACATGGCACAGCAGACTTCTGTCTCGCCCACTGCTCCCCTCAGCAGTGTATTTCAGCAGATCTGCCTGTTCTGTTCCCCACTCTTTCTCTAGTGAATCCTCTCACCCCCCACACCTCTGGCCTGCACCCCAGTTCTTGTATGCATAAATAAAAATAAATAAATCTTTAAAAAAATATTTAGAAATTCACAATGCTAGTTCTTTATAAAATGGATTGATCATAAACTTATAAATTGATTTGGTGCCAACCTGTACCATTTTTTCCCCTTGATACAGGTGTATCACTAGTTTTCTTTACAGATTTAAACAATAATGAATTCTAAAAGGCTTACATAGTAAGAAATACATAGGAACACAGGTGGATAGAAGGGAGATTTTCTGAGGTAATTGACAAGAGACAAAGTCAAAAGAATACCTAAGAGACTTAGCACACAGGAAGGTTGTCTGAGGTGAAACTGACTAAGTCAGGAGGATAAAGTAAAAATGAACTGTAGTGAAGGTGCTAGCTTTGAGGGGAAAGTCCATTAACTCCTAACAAAGAAGAGAGGAGGAGGTAGGGAAGAGGAAGTTGTGTTAGCTAGTTCCCTTGGTGACCACCAGATGACAGCACCGGCATGGTTGCTGCTTGAGCAAACCAGAAGACAAAAGTTCAGACCACCAGCAGCAAAAGAATTTTGTGCCAGTGTGTTGCAATTGAAAACATGACTAAAACATGGTAGGGTGGGTGAAATTTGGGCCCCCAAATGAAGATTTGAAAGGTACCATCTCTAAAAAAAGTTTATAACAGTTTATAACAGAGTTTGAAATCATGAACATCTTAAGTTCTTTAAGAAAGTGAGAGAAATTTCTAAAAACAAAGACCACTATTAAGAAATAATAAAGTCTAGAGGCACAAAGCATTATAAAGCTTGCTGAAAGAGTTGAGGGAAAAGCTAAATTTTATCCAAGGCAGAAGAAAATGAAAATGAAGCACTTGTTCAGACTATGGCTACCACTTTTTTTTTTTTTTTGCTTTGCTTTTAAAGTAAGTAACAATGAATTGGCAGTAGCCATTGGCAATCACTGCCTACATCCATCACACCCACTACTGCAAGCACATCACAGGAGATAAACAACGGATGCCTCCTGCTGTAGGACAATGTATATGATACACAGGAAATACACAATACTGTTGGGAAAACAGTAAAACGGAATCAGAGTCGTCTCTAAATCTATCAGTTTTCAAGTAATACTATGAAGCAATCCACAGCCTTTGCAGCATGAGTTCGATCCCTGGCTGGCCAGGGAGCAACCCACATGGCAAAGCAGACCTCTCTTGTCTCGCCTGCTGCTCCCCTCAGCAGTGTATACAGTCAGTCTGCCTGTTCTGTTCCCCACTGTCTCTGCTGAATCCTCTCACCCCCCGCATCTCTGACCTGAACCCCAGCTCTTGAATGCATAAATAAACAGTCACCATTCAAACTGACTTTTCCTTGACTTTGCTTCCTTCAGCATATGGTCTGACCCTGGTCCTCAGGCACTTATGTTACAGGCAAGAAAGTGTCCACATGGGTAATTGAGTTTATATAAAAAGTTAATTTATTTAGACCAGGAAACTTAAAAAAGAATACACTGAGACTCTTTACTTTATTAGTATGTATCTGGATATCCTAATGGTCAGGAAGACATGAAAAGAAATATCTGGGCCCTACCTCAAAAATATGAACAACCTAAGTTTATAAATTTTTTTCTAAATTATGAGCATACTCAATAACTAACTATCCAGAACCAAAATAACGAAAGTATATGGCTTTTTAAATATAGCTCTTTACATTTTAAGAAACAATCAGAGATTTAGGAACATGTTGCTAAGAGTCAAGAAAATCTTTAAGAAATTTTTGTTTCTAAAGACTTCATATATTCTAATTGACTTAAGGGGTCTTAATCTACAAAACATTTATTTCTGAACAAATTTGATAATGTTTACATTGTACTGAAAGAAGAAGCAGACGTATCTGACCTTTATTGTCTGCCGCTATAAATCCCAAGATGTTTTCATGACGTAACATTACAGTTTGATAAATCTCTGCCTCACGGAACCATGAACGTTCTTCTCTAGAAGAAAAGATTTTAACAGCAACTTCTTCTCCTCTCCACTTTCCTCTCCAAACTTCTCCAAATCGACCTTTGCCAATGCTTTCTTGTAACACAATAGTTCTTGCAATTGTTCTTTGAACAAGCAATGGTAAACCTAAAGATAAAAAATAAAGAATAAAGAGTATGAATAAAGAGTATTCAACAGAACAATCAACAACAGTATGTATTTCTAATGTCATGACAGGTGTTAAAGAGTAATCCAGGAGCACATAACTCATTTAAGTTCTACCTAATTTAAGTTCTACCAACCACCAGTTCTCCCTGGTGGCGCAAGAAGTTAAGATGCAGCACTATGAAGCAATCCGCAGCCTCTGCAGCACAAGTTCGATTCCAGGCTGGCCAGGGCACAACCCACATGGCACAGCAGATCTCTCCGGATTCGCCCGATGCTCCCTCAGCAGTGTATTTCAGTAGATATGCCTTTTCTGCTCTCTACTCTGTCTCTGGTGAATCCTCTTACCCCCCCACACCTCTGACCTATACCCCTACTCTTGTATGCATAAATAAATAAATCTTTAAAAAAAAAAAAAGTTCTACCTTTAAAAGAATTTACAGTCCCATTGAGGAGAAAACAGGCAACATTTGCAAAAGCAGTAAGGAATTAAAAAAAATAATAATACAAATGAAAGAATCCAGAAACTCCTGTCTTGAAGGTTAAAGCAGGTTTTATACAGTAAGCTGAACTGATACTATACAGAAGGGACAGAAGCCGAGAAGAGAAGCAGGTGAGGTGTGTTTTAGTAGGATAATATAAGCAAAGACAGAAGGAAATGAACAATGCACCGTAGGGATCCAGCTCAGATAAACAGGATGTGTACAGGAAAGCAATGAAAGAGAAGCTAAGCTGTCACCAGAATGTGCAGATGACCAGACTCATGAAGACCAATGAAATTAAAGATTTCTGAAAAATGGTGATGAATGTGGAGAAATCTGAAAATCTTATTTAAGAAAGATGAATCTGGTAGTGGTTTTACTGATGGAAAGAGAAAGGTATGTGAATACAAGAAACACTGAATTAAACACTTAACTTTTAATATATTAATAATTCTAACTTTACTATATCAGTAAAAATTATCACAAAATCTATTTCAAGAGAAGCAATTTACTTGTTAAGAAGAATTGGTTATCTAGACAACATTAGTATCTTAAAGATTGAGGCCTAAACACTTACCTTTGTAATGAGACATTGGCATTTTCTCCCTCAATTAAACTTACTATACTCTAAACGTATATATTTTCAAGTATTGCTACACTAACCCATTTACAGAAAAGAATTTATTAATAGTATATAACATTTAAGTAACACCATATTTGGGACTATCCCAATTCACTTAATATATCATTTCCATGGACTAAGGTGGAACCATCTTAAATTATACTGACACTGACAATTAAAATGTCAGTGCACATCATGTTCTAAATAGTATTTTCTTTATATGCTCTATTACACATAAATTTGTGTAATTTATAACCTATATTCAGATTTGCTTGCTAGATCATATAAATCCAATGATTGTAAATGAAATCATCTGTTCTCTTTGCTTTCCTACTATGAAAGTCTTACAAATCTAAATGTTAAGTCTTCACTTTAAAGTAATGAGAAGTTTTTCTATTTTCATCTTTTAAATTTCTCAAATGGTTCCTTTCCTCCCCTTGCTCTATCATCCTCATCTCCTGCAAAGGAGTCAAAAGTCTAATTTAAAATGTTTCATGTTTATAAGGAGGCTGCTAGTTAAAAATAGACCTGTGAAAAATCCTTTTTAAATCAAGGGCTCTTATGAATAATCGATTCATAAGTATGTTGTTTAATGAGAAACTAATTTACTAAATTTTTTTCAAATCTCTGAGTAGGGTCATGCCACGTGCTTAAACTATACTTAATCTGAAGTTAGAAAGGCAATTAACAAAGCAGAAGGGGCAACTGCAAATCCAATAATGTTTAACACATTTAGGACTCATGTAAACATATGGTCAAGAAAGGCTAACAGGACAAGGAAAATTTTTGTCTTCCTCATCACTACTGATTTCTAGACACAGAACTAAAATTAAAAGCCAAATGTAGACGCATATTATCTGTATTTTGTTCAAATATCCCACACGAATACCTAAGTATTTAACAAAAAGGTAATGTTTCTTCTAAAGAAAAAAATAAATGGGCCCACTTTAGATCTCCATATTCTCTACTTCACTTATCTGTACTTTTCTTGAGAAAACTTCAATAGGAAATAGGATCCAAGCAGTTTCACATGCAGTAAACAAGAGAAATAAAATCTGAACAACATTCATACATTACAGGAGATCATAAACATGAACAAGACTTTCAAAAATTGGCACACACGTGCATGCTCACGCACATTTTATAACCTAAAGACAGCTTAAATACAGGCACACTGCACAACCTGTAATTCAAATTAATGCAATAGGGATTAGGTGAGCTTTAAGATTAGAGCTGACAGAACAGAGTTCTCTATTGTTTTCCCTGCACTTCCCAAGTTAAAAGTAGTGTTTGAGAGAGCTAAGGCACTTCCTCCATTATGGCCATGATATGGAGCAGTAAACCTGTGATTCATAACATGAAATATTCAGTTTTACCTTTTCCTCAATGAGTGAAAAGAATCACAAGGGGCATTATGTATAGACATTTTACTTAAGAGGCATGAATCACATGCACAAGATGGCATTAAGGATTTATAGTAGGAAGAGAGATGGCATTTTCTGATGTTTTTCATAGAAGATAGCTTCTGTCCAGATAAAGCAACTCAGTGCATAATAAACTCTGACAGGAAAAGGAGCCCTTCAACTAAGTTTTATACAATACAGCAATCTGATATTGTCTGTCAGATTTTTCTTCCAAATTATGTTTTCAATAAAAATAACACCTGTCATTTGGACATAACTTTACAATTTACCAAGTGCTTTCACACAAACATCTTGTCTCATTTGAACCTCACAACAATTCACTGACATGTACAGGGCAGGATTCACTACTTTGATTTTAAAGATTAAATAACTCAGGGTGGGCATCAGCTTACTGCCCAAAGCCACACATTTTTTTGCAAGGCAAAGAAAGCATAAAAGGAGGGGCGGAGAAGTTTTCTGATAATAGAGCTGTGACCCCTGATAAATCTAAAAACATATATACAGCAGAAAAATAATTTCATTCTTTATTTCATGTCTATGTCTGAAAAGGTAAAAATAAATGTATTATTATTCAAAAACCAATTGCCATCTACACAGCAATTTTTTTTAATCCCTCTGGCAGGCTTGTTTCCCTTGAGCGCTGACGGGCCATTGTGCCAAGAGGCAGGAACTGCCTTGATTTCCCTGAAGGTTAAGTTTAGCAACAAGAGCAGAGGTCCAAGAGATTAATTCCAAATAATCTGAAACTGCCCTGATTTTCTGTGATTTTGGTCCTTGTTATAGATTTTTTTTTTTATTTTTTGGGTGGGAGGCATGGCTGGGTGTGGGGTGAGGGTATACAGGATGACTTCCAGAATGAGCCACATCTTTGTGAATATTGGAATAATGCAGTATCAATGGAAAACTCCAAGGAAACCCTAAAATAATCTTTCTCAACTCCCACATCACGCTTGTTCAAAGACTATCACATCTTCAGTTCTAAGGCTGCTCCATTTCAATTCAACCTCTCATCGAATCCCCTTCTAACAACAGTCTAAGGGTTCCCTGATGGCTACTAAGAGATCTGGGCTCTAATGCAAATCTGTATGTGCCCTGGTAGTCAGGGACACAACTCAGTGACTATATATACCCAAATTCCATAAAAGATGGTTTCAGGGCATAAAATTAGTTTCTTCATACTTAAATGAATGAACAGATTTGCATCTATGTCAATATATATTCATTTCCTTAAAACAGACATGTCATTATATGAACTTTCTGTATCATCACATGTGATTTGGTGCTATTCCCCCCCAATTCAAACTTCTACTTCAATGTTCATTTAGTCAACTGATCATAAAATGAGTGAAATCTATATTTTATCCATATAGCCCTTACGTAAAGTCGATTTACACTTCAAATAATGTATCTCATTTAAACTTCTAACAACTTTATCACTACCAAGAATATCAGTTCCATATTTCTCATGAGGAAATAGAAGCCCAAAGTCAGAGAGGTATGAATAACAAAGCTTGCACTAGAGTCTAGATCTCTTAATTTCTAGCTGAGCATTAAACTGCAATATTGTAGAGAACAAGGGTCTTCCCTCTCTGTAGCCTTCGAAAGCACACGCAAAAACAAATGAAAAATTAATTCCCTTTGGTTTAAACATGAAAACACTGCTATGCCAAAATCCACTTTAGGATGATTCTGGCAATTGTTTATTTTTGATCTCACAAAAATCAATAAACAGAACAGAGAAAATCAAACATCACAGAGGCCATGATCCAAAAAGATATATTAAATAACAAGGTTGTTAGACATTTTTCTAAAAGCGAACACTGAGCTAAAGAGAGTAATTTCATATATTAAAAAGAAAATTAACCTTCATAATTACAAAAACACTTTGCCATGCATACTTTCAATACAAAAATAAAGCTGCTAAACAATTCTTAACAGAATGAATAGAGATCACTTGAATACTTTTGAATTTTATCCTCACCTATATGAGAATAATCCATATTCCTTCACCTCAGAGTGTTATGAGAAGCAAATGAGATTATATAGGTGAGAATACTTTAAAAGTAAATTCTAATCTGTCTAAACTAAACTAGCCACAGTGAGATACAGACCAAGCTTAGAGACATTTATTAGGCTTGAAGCTGGATTAGTATTCACATTATCCCAAGTTTTAACAAACTAAGTCAACTGGCTTAGTTAGCCAACTAGTAAACAGCATAGATAATTTCTGAAAGACTTCTTAAGAAAATGGAAAAACAATTACATTACCTGATCCAGACCCTGATGTTGTCATGTCATAAATTAAATCTTTTAACGTTGTGCCCTCTGAAATGAAAGGACGGTCTAATGAAGGATCCTCTTCGTTGGGCACGCGATGGTGAATGACAGTACGGTTATGGCAGATATAGACCATCAACATGAGTGAGATGCACACAAAACAGACTGGTCCAGCAATGACAGCAGCCAGTTCCACAGGACCAAGGCCAGATGGTGGCTTTCCTAGAAAACGACCTCAAGTGAAATAAACAACAACAAAAATATGCTGTAGGTGGCATCCAAAATTTCCTAAGCCTCCACATTTTCTGCAGTTGGCCACTACCACGATTAGTCATAGGGCCTCATTACACCAGCTCACAAGGCTCAAACCACAGCAAGCAAATCTTTTGGTTTTCTCCCACTAGCCCTCATTTATGACCACCAGTTCTGTCAACATCCACTTACACTTTCCTATATTTTTCAGCCATCATCTAAATAACAAGGCTGGCTAGCACCAACATTCTAGGACATACCCATTTGTCATTCTTAGGTCACTAAAAAAGGAACCAATAATGTGGAACAAATTCCTGGTGTCTTTTCTTTTTTTAAAATAACATTAGCTTGTCTTCTTATTCCAAGGGCAGAAGAAAGGAACAATGTATAACCACAGATAAGCATAAGCTATAAAAAATTATCAAACAGCCTCAACCGCCTCCAAAACAACACATTTGTGTGTATCTTTGCCAACTTGCATCATGCAAAATATATCATTTGTTTTGTTTTCTCAATGGCGTTTGCATGCATATATTTTCTAGTCTATTTTAACCACTTGAGCTTCTAATTCAAGACCATATATTTTCTTATACTCTTGAACATTAATATTTTCCACTGTTTCAGAAATACATTAATTATTTTGGCATTCATCCTAAGCTTTGCTGATTTACTACAAACCATGATCTTCATAGTACATTTTTTTCGTTCCTGACATTATTTGGATTGACTTCTTATGATACAGGATCCTAATTCAAATAATTTATTTCACAAAGAATGCATGGGTGCTTATACACTATTTACGTTATTGCCTTTATCTATGAAAAATCTTGACTTAACAATCAATATATGATGTTCCATTGCCTTCTGATATTTGAAAAGGAAAAAAAGATAAGCTTTTAATTTCCTCTTATAAGTAACTAGTGTTCACCTGCACTGAAAGTGAAATATTTTTTCCTTATCTTGAAATCAATTTTTTTTTCATTACATATATTTGAGTAAGAAGTTTCTTCATTAATTTTGCATAGTTTTCTTCTCTCTTCTGTCTACTCTTATGTCTTTTTTTGAAATAGTTACACTAAACAGTTTGGACTACCTAGATCTGTACTCCGTATTACTTAATTTCCTCACCAACTGTCTTTCTTTGAATTATAACAATTTCTCAAGCTTGTCTTGCCTTAAGCTTGTCTGACACTTAACTATAAAATTACAGGATCCAGTCTGCTATTCACTTTCAATACTGCACTTCAAAAATAATTCACCAATTGAGCTTTTTCATCTGAAAGCAATTTTTAACAACTGTGAAATGTTCTCATTTCATAGAGAGCATGAACAACTGAAAACAGGCCTTGGGCTGTCTGAAAGTTCTTCCCTATCATATGGTAAGTCTTTCACAGGATGACATTTATTCTGATTTACCCAGCTCAGTTTCACTTCTTTTGAACCACTGAACCTTACCATTTGGTAATATTTTTGCTGTTTATCAGGCAACTGGGAATGGAGAATTTATGTATGTCTAGTATTAGAAATTAGCTCTAATATGAGAAGTGAGTTCTTCACATGGTTTTATGAATCTCCATTCAGGTATTTCAAGCCCAAACAATGGAAATGGGTAATTCTGGAATTATCATTTTCTTTTTCGTCTTACAACTGCAGGTGCCTACATAAAAATCCAGAGAAATTACAATCTGACAGAACCTTGTTATGGGGGGCTTCCCTATCATGTTGACAATTTAGTTTAACTTCGCTTAGTTTAACTATCACCTGAGGTAGGTGGAACACCACCTCCTATGACTAGGAGGTGGACCCTCTTACTAGGGTACTACTTCCTACTTTCATTAATTAATGGCTAGACTAACTGCAAGAAAAATGAGCACAGGCACCTGCTTCAGTGAGCACTGAAATCAGGTGCTTCCTAAAGGAGAACTGAGAGTTAAAACTCTCATTTTTTGCTTAAGAGGTCCCTTCACATCTTTTCTTTTTTTTAAAGATTTATTTATTTATTTATACAAGCACTGGGTACAGTCAGAAGCTCAGGAGGGTGAGAGAATTGACCAGAGCCAGAGCAGGGAGCAGAACAGGCAGAAGGACAGAAGTACACTGCTGAGGGGAGCAGCGGGGACGTGGCAAGAGAGGTCTGCGCGCCACGTGGGACCCTCGCCAGCGGCCGGGGATTGAACCAGCACTGCAGAGGCTGCGGGCAGCTTTGCAGCCCAGCGTTCAACCGCTGCGCCACCAGGGAGGCCCCCACATACTTCTTTTCATAGTTAATCAGATTTCACTAGTATGATGTCACCGATAATAAAAACTGCAGAAGTTCCTTACAAATGTAGGCATGTGGGTGATAGTCTTCCACTAATTCTGATAGAATTAATACAGTTTTCTCCTGCTTTTATATTCCTTTGATTATCGCAATAGGAATTTGAGGAAAGTTACCGAAAAATTAAGCACATGTGTTCAAACTGACATGTAAGCCAGAACCTTAACATTCATCTAATCCTAAGTTATGAAGCATTCAAATAAATTCCTAGCACTGCCAGTACATTTTAAAATGTATGTATTTTAATAAATATGCAAACTTACTATAAAAGAAAAAAGTTATGGGAATGTAATATATAGCATGGTAGTGACAATAGTTAATACTATACTGCATATTTGGAAGTTGCTGAGAAAATAGGTATTTAAACTTTCATCCCCCCAAAATTTCTATAATTATGCCTGGTGATGAAAGTTAACTAGACTAAATGTGGCAATCATTTGACAAATAATCATTTGACAAATAGTGATTTGACAAATAATGGATCATTATGTCATACACCTGAAATTGTAATGTTATGTCAATTATGCCTCAATAAAATAATTTTTTTTTTCAAAAATCAACAGTTAAGTGTTGGTGTGGACCAGGAGAAATGGGAATTCTTGGTGTACTGTTGGTGGGAATATAAACTGGTACAGTCACTATAGAAAACAGTATGGAAGTTCCTAAAAAAAAAAATTAAAAACAGATCTACCTTATGATCCAAAATTCCACTTCTGGACATATATCCAAAGGAAATGAAATCAGGATCACAAAACAATAGATGCACACCTATGTTCACTGCAGTGTTATTCACAATAGCTAAGATAAAGGAACAACCCAAGTATCTTTCAAAAGATGACTGGATTTTAAAAGGTGTATATTTTAGATCCCTTAGATTGTTGTTTATGTACACATGCATGCATGCACATACACACGAATATTTTTTAGCCATAAAAAAGAAGGAAATCCTGACATTTACAACAATTTGGATGAATGTTGAGGGCATTATGCAAAGTAAAATAAGTGAGAGAAAGACAAATACCTGTTTATCACTTCCAAGTGAAATAAAAAAATCCAAACTCATTGGAACAAACTAGAATACAATGGTGGTTAATCAGGAGCTGGGAGGTAGGGGGCAAAGGAGAGATGTCAAGCAAAGGGTACAAACTTTCAGTTATAAGATGAATAAGTTCTAGGGCTCTACATACAGCACAGTGACTACAGACTGTGTGCTATAATTGAAAGTTGGCAAGAGAGTAGAAATTAAATGCTCTCACCACAAAAAAGGAAATAATAATCATGTGATAGATAATCTGTGGGGGGGTGTCATGATTTTGCAACAGACAGGTGTTTCAAAATCAACACACTGTACATCTTAAACTTACACATCATTTTATGTTGATCATATCTCAAAAAAGCTTGAAAAAAATGTTAACATTACAAAAGACAAAGATGGATTGTGGAGATATTCTAGATTAACGAAAGTTAAAGAGAAATGACAACTAAATGCAATACCTAAGTCTAGATTGGATCCTATACTAGAAAGGGAAAATGTTATAAATGATGTCATTAGATCAAAGTGAAAAAATTGGCATATGAACAGTAGATTGATAAAACTGTACATCAGTGTAAATTTGTGAGGTTGATAAAAAAGTAAAATAAAATGTAAGTTATGGGTGAAGAACCAAAAACTTAGAAATTATATATAGTAATTTATAGACAAAGATCATAAGACAAGGTAAAGTTGCAAAATGAAGGCATCTGGATTGTTTAGTGCTGCTGTCAATTCCTGCCCATTATGGATTGCTTTAAAAGGCTGGAGTAGGGCTTCCCTGGTGGCGCAAGGGGTTGGTCACCGCACTGTGGGGTGGTCCGCAGCCTCTGCAGCACGAGTTCAGTTCCAGGCCCGCCAGGGAGCAGCCCACATGGCGCAGCAGACCTCTCCTGACACGCCCACTGCTCCCCTCAGCAGTGTACTTTGGCCAATCTGCCTATTCTGTTCCCCACTCTGTATCTGGTGGACCCTCTCACCCCTTGGGGGGTCTCTGGCCTGTGTCCCAGCTCTTGTATGTATAAGTAGGTAAATCTTAAAATTAATTAATAGGCTAGAGTATCATAAGAGGAAAGTATTCACTCTGAGGACAAAGCAGAGACATTACTGCAGTGAAATGTATCAGAATTTGCTTTTAAGAGGCTACCCTCTTAAGCATTACAGAGTTCAGAGAAAGTTTACCTTGAAACTACTTTCTCAACCAACATACACTCAAGAGTCAGGATTTTAGCTTCTCATAACTACAACTATGAACAAAGTCACTTCTTGCCTCCGAACTGAACAAGCAGGAGTAGACAGTTTGTAAGGTCCCTTCCAGTTATAAAACCAAGAGCTTTTCTTGTAATAGTAAGAAAAAATTATATACAACTTACCAACAGGTGGGAGTTCTATTTTATTGCAGTGGTCCTGATTGCAGCAATATGTTGTAGTTACAGACCCAGTTTTTGAAGATGGTGCACATACAAAGGGCCTGTCTCGAGGAATCAGATCAATTTCAGCTATACACATGCTATTGTGTATTACTTTGTCTGTGGTCTCTGTGACAGAGACAAAGCAAAGCCCATCTGTGACACAAGTAAAATTGTCCTTTGTACAAAGATGGCAGAAACACTGCAATGCTGGAAAAAGAGATCAAGCTTTTATTAGAAAAAATTCTCAAGGTTAACAATTTGAAATTATCCTATTAGAATCATACAGTTTCTTTACAATTTAAAAAAACAAAACTCTTTATTATCTTTAGAAGTTGCAACTTCCGTTGAAAAACACACACATGTAGGAGCAAAATAAGATGACAACTGATTCCAAGTTTTTTCTAGAACATTTCTGCTTCCAAGTATAGAAAACATGTTGCAGGCAATTTCACCAAGGTAATACAAGCATTTGCCCTCCCATTTGAAACAAAAAACATTTACATTTTTAATAATTACACTTACTCTTATCAGCACAAACTGTGAATTCACATACTCTCCCCTCTCCCCATCCCATTAGTGTGAAAATACAATTACCTACTCACTATAGTTGGAAATGATATTTGGGTGGATTTTTAGTAATAGAGTAATGGAAACAGATTCATAATGAAGCAGACATTCTTTTCTCCTGTGCAAACCCCAAGAAAAGATATGCATCTTCTAGCTACTCTGTCAGAAAGCCAGGGACACTACCATCACAATACACATATGCTCCAACCATATAGACTAGAGCTGACCAATGCGCATCTATGATTTTTGTGCCTTAACTCTAGGGGGGACTCCTTTAGGAAAGTCTTCCCTTAGTTATCACTAGCACCATCCTATCCCACTTTGATCTAATGACATCATTTATAACATTTTCCCTTTCTAGTATAGGATCCATTCTAGACTTAGGTACAGGGCACAACATCCTCCACCATACTCTCTAACTAGGCTAAATGTTCCCAAAGCACACACTGCTTGCCACAATGGTTACTTTGAAAAGGTCATTGCTGTGAAACTAGTTCCTGGAGGGGAGAGACCCATGTTAGTCACTTCCGTAAATCCAATCTGATCTTAGGCCTGGGACATATAGCAACATTTAAAATACACTTGAATGAATGACAAAATGGGCACTTGTATTACACTATGAGTTCATGAAACTGCAAAGCATAATAGGTCCTTTCAAACAAACTTTCAAATTACTTGTTGGCAAAAGAAAAGGTAAAAACAAGGTATGTGGAATGGTCAACTATAATGAAACCAGGGAGGTCTACTTCATCAAGAAAAAGAGTGACCAAGCAGACAGAAGAAAGTTAACTCTGAGCAGCTAATTGCTATGAAACAGTTAAATTAACACAGCAGGTCCAAGCTGCTCAAATCCTACACATTCCCAAAAACATGTGGGCATGTCTTTAGTACTGGCCCTTGGTCAATTCCTGGGAGAGCAACTCTGAGTGTAAGATAGTCCTCCTGACAAAAAAAAAATGCTACAGTCTTGTGCAACTGGGCCCCAGTAAAAACCCTGGACACCAAGTCTGGGGGAGAGCATCCCTGGTCGGCAACATTGTGCTCATGCTGTCACACACCACTGCTGGGGGTGTATTTGCTCCTGCAAAGGTTGAGGACACCTGGAAACTTACATCTGTTTTCTCCTGGACTTGTCCCATAAACCTTTTCCTTTTTAAGATTTTAATCTGTATTTTCTCAACTGTAATAAACTTCAACTATGGGTATGGCAGTTTTTCAGAGTGTGTGTGTCCTTGCAGGAAACCATGGACCCCAAGGGTGGATCTTGGGGGACTCCCAACTCATTTGTTAAACTCTCCTCAAATCCTTTCTTGACTGCTAGCTTAATTAGCACAATTGTCTGTTATCTTTACAAAGAGCTAAGTTTTACTTTAATGACAATTAAAAGTTTTGTTTTTTATTTCCAAGAGAGTTCAGCTATTTGAATTAACTCCTCCCAAGTAAGAAGAAAACTCAAGAAAATTTTAAGAAAGAAACACAATCATAACCTATCATTCAAAGACTGTTCATAAGAGACACTAGTTATTTTTGGTGAGGTCTGGTGGGGATTATAGTTTTCATGGGTATAATTTCCTAAGGAGGGATTTTGAACCAGGAACCTATGGACTGGTTTTAGAAGTATATGATGCCCATGAAACTGTAGGTCAAATGTGTGTATCTCCAGTTCAAAGAGAAATTTTATAGGTTTCAACAGAACCACAAGGAGGTCTATCACCCACAAAAAATTAAAATCACCACACAAGAGATTGTCATTCTCTTCTGAATCCTCTTCACTCACAATTTGTTATTTAAAACATTTCCTAAGCATCACCTTTATTAGTTACTCCACCAAAAGCTTAGTATACAAAGATTAATAACTCAGGGACATTGTTCTTGAAGAGCTCCAATGGAGAATTTTACAGTACAATGTAGTTAATTGCTATGTATAAAATATTCTGCCATAAATACTTTACCAATTCTAAAATCTTCACTGCGTCCTTAGAGTATATGAGATAAGATTTAAATACTTGGTCTAACAATCAAGACTTTTAGGTTTCAACATACTGTTCACATTACATATATTATCTAGGGCCATGCATGCTCACCATGTCTTTCATAACTTGGTTTACACATTCTGTCTGTTTAGTTTAACCAACCCTCTCATTCTTTAATTCAACCAAGATACCTTCCATGACATGCTCTAAACCTCTACCCTTAAGATAACTGGTCAGCTCCTTTCAGTACATTCCAATATTCCTGTGTGCATTCCTTTAGGATAGCACAAATCAGTCTATTTATAGTTTGCTGTTAAAGTGATCCATTACACTAGGGAGGGCCAAGTTTTTCTGTTTTGGTTTTCCCATCTTTGAATCTTGGACTCTTAGCAGAAAATGTTTGTTAAAGCAACATTTTCCTAAACAAGAGGTCACAAATATATCAAGAAAGTGAGTTTAAAAGAATTGTATACATTTAAAAAACTTTTTTTTTCATTTGTAAGATAATCTAAAATAAATGACAAACATTCTGGATTGTGAGTAACCACTAGCTAAACAAGCACTGTCAGTAAGCTTGCACTGCTTTCACTTGCGTTACGCCCTCCTTTAGGCCAAATGTCCTCCTGGCACACTGTACAAGTAAGGGCTGCATAATAACTGTAAATCAAAGGTAATAATTGTAATTCAAAGTATGAACAATACAGAAAACTTGAATTCAGAGCATCTAGTGACATATATATGGTATAGCCAAGGTATATATTCAAAACTAATAGCATAACAGCCAGTACCATATATATGCTACAAGGATAAAATAGGTCCTATTCTTGCAGAATAATTTACAAAAGTTCATTAGCAGTAAATGTGGTAAGTCTACAATGACGTTTTCCCATTCTCACTTCTAGTAATAATTGGTTTAGAGAACAGCTTAATAAATATGTCCATAATGTCATAACGTTAACCTCATCTTCAAGAGAACATGACAGTTGACATCTCATTAAAATTGGTATTTGAGGAATACATGCTGGCAAGTGTTTTGGTTAGTTATAAGGTTTGATTTTCCTGAACTTACAAGGTCTTAAAGTCATTAATACCATACTTCTCCACAAAACTTAGGAGAATAGACACTTGCAGCTTTCCATACCACTAACATTAAAATATAGATGACAAGGCTATATTTTTTTCTTCTGTGTAACCTAAATATCATCTGCCACACTGAAAAATTGCATTAACTTGAATCCTGTTGGTTTTGTAGTAGTGTTTGTATTTAATTTGCAGGTTTGGTTTATAGGTGCAAATAAATCCAAAGAATATACATATGAAAAATCGTTTCTGTACTGCTCCTCTGGAAGGGGCCATTCATTACATTATGGCAAGTCTGAAAATTCAGCACTGAAGGACTTCTCTTATCAAGAGCCTTTCAATAAGAACTGGTCACTAGACAAATATAACAAAGTTTAACCAGACAAGGGTTATGTCTTAAGGGAATTAAATAATCATATTTCACTATGCTAAATAAGTCTTGATTGAATATAAAAAGTGCTGTTAAATGTATATGATATAGTAGTATCATTGGGAAAATATTTTTAAATTCCCATGAATTTAAGAGCTTTAATTTACATTACTTTAAATTCTTCAAGGTCAACTTTAATAAATAGATCTGATCCCTAGCTATCTCCCTTTTATTAAACTAGGTTGTTGTTGGTTTTTATCTGTTTCTTTGTTTTAAAGCATATACAGGGCAAATTTTCTATCTAAACAAGGTATACAACGACGTCCTCTTCCCACCTCAGAGCCTAAATTTCATGGCCAACTCTGAAGTACAAGTCCACAAATAACACTCTTTTGATTTAATTTTGTAATTTTTCATTGAACATCTTTATATTCTAGGTTATAGAGCACAGAAATAAACAAGACAAGGTATCTGGAATTGAGTGGTTCACTTGGGTGACCACGTAAGACATTAAATGGACCATTAAAACAGAGAGCCATGGGACTCCCTGGTGGCACAAGGCGTTAAGCACCTCACTATGAAGCAATCCGCAGCCTCTACAGCACGAGATCAATCCCCTGGCTGGCCAGGGAGCAACCCATATGGCGCAGCAGACCTCTCCTGACTCACCCGCTGCTCCCCTCAGCAGTGCATTTCAGTCGGTCTGCCTGTTCTGTTCCCCATTCTGTCTCTGGTGAATCCTCTCACAACCCCCCATCTCTGGCCTGTACCCCAACTCTTACATGCATAAATAAATAAATCTTAAAAAAAAAATTGTCGTTAGGAGACTGATCAAAGTGATTTACTCTGCTGAGGTAGAACAAGTGCCAAGAAAAGCATCAGGTGGGCCTCCCCGGTGGCACAGCGGTTGAGCGCTGGGTTGCGAAGCTGCCCACGACCTCTGCGGCGCCGGTTCGATCCCCGGCTGCTCCCCGGCCACTGGAGGAGGGTCCCACATGGCGCACAGACCTCTCCTGCCGCCCGCTGCTCCCCTCAGCAGTGTACTTTGGTCCTTCTGCCTGCTCTGCTCCCCGCTCTGGCTCTGGTGAATTCTCTCACCCTCCCGTGCTTCTGACTGTACCCAGTGCATGTATAAACAAAACAAACAAACAAATAATAGATAAATAAAACATGCCTCTATAACAAGAGGTTAAGTGTCAGCACTATGAAGCTATCCA